CAGCAGGAAGGGCCTGCTGGAAGAGGAGAAGAGAGAAAAGGATACAGGTGATTACAGTGCCAAGTCTCTGGCTAAAATTTAATGTTTAAACACCTGACCCAGTGCAGTATGAAAAAGTAGTATAAGAAGCAAATGAAGCTGTGTGTTACCAAGCTCAAGCCAACAGGCTGTTTTCTGCCAGCAAAGGATTTCAGAGGACCTAGTTTTTCTGTTCAAATGGAACAACAGCTTGTGTCTGTTCTGAACTATGCTCATTAAAAAAAAAAAAAAAATCATGGGAAGAAAATTGTGGAAAAAAATCAGGTCAGAAGGGATCTCTGGAGGTCATTCAGTCCCCACTTTGCTGAAAGCAGAGAGAGGTGGGATTGCAACTGAGCTTCCTTTCAAGATGAGAGAACACAAGGACTTCCCAGCACCTGCAGCCTGCCCTCATCACAGCTCCTGCAGCTCCTCACCAGGACTGACTCCCTGTCCCTGCCTACCCCTTACAGCTGGAATCTGCATTTCCTGCCTTTATGAAAAGAAACACTATTTCACCCTTCATTTTTTTCCTCAAAGACAGAGGAAAAGTTTAATAAAAAAGCCAAGGCTCATCTTTCCCATGCTTTCTACAATAAAATCACAGCCCAAATGCCTGAATTTCTAACCATCAGCATGAGGTGGTTTTATTTCCAGGTGCTTTCCCAACGTACCCAATGGTGTTTTTCTCACGTTGCACACACCAACTCCCAGCTGGCACAGACTCAGAGCAGAGCCCCAGGAGCTGCACAGGCAATCACTGAAAACTGAGCTACCCAAGATTTTACCTTCTCCCTGGGGCGTGGGTGCTGGCAGCAGCTGCTCTGAACCTCTTGGGGCCTGGGGGTGGCCGTTGCTGTCCCTCGGGCTGCCCACTGCTGCTGCTTTTGGCAAAACCATCATTGTTCTTCTTGCCCTGCAAGACCAGCCAAAGCTCAGCAGTTGCAGTCTCAGTGCACAAAGCAGGAGTGACAGCACCCAGGGGTGTCCTTCCCTCCATCCACTGCTGCTGCCTAGAAAGCCCAAGCATTTGTCTGACATTTTCTTTGGCTCTGTCTAGGGGGAAACCCAGCCTGCTCCCAAGTGCAGGTGGGGATTGCTGACACTGCACAGGCTCCCTTTCTGCTCTTGGACACATTCAGCATCACTTGCAATTGCTTCACAGGGGGCTGAGCCCTCTGCTGGGTGCTCCACATTCCTCATATTCTTATTACTGTAAATGGACTTGGACAGGCTGCCTAGGGCAGTGGTGGAGTCACCAGCCCTGGAGGGATTTAAAAGCCATGTAGATTTGGTGCTGAGGGACGTGGTTTGGTGGTGGGCTTGGCAGTGCTGGGTTAATGATTGGACGTGGTGATCTTGAAGGTCTTTTCCAACCAAAACAATTTTATGACTGAATGAGATGAAACAGAATTTTTTATGGATATATTTTTGAATCTTTTAAGAACACATTTTTCTAAGATCTTTTTTGTAAAACCCATGGGAACTGATTCAGTAAAATGATGCCATGTCATAAGCTCATAAAACCAACTGGGAAATGGCTATTTTGTATGCATATGTATCTGTACTCACCTATGCATACAAATACTTGGCACAGGCATATAAAAGATGGTGCCTGTAAATTTTTAATGTAGATTGTTCTTTGGGGGAATCCAGGATCATAAAAACCAGGAGAATTCTAGGTGACATTTGGAACAGCTGTACCTTCCCTCCTCCCCTACCTCTTGAGCTGATGTCTGGCGATTTAAAGGGCTCACTCCATTTAATGAAGCAGCTGCTCTTCTCCTGGGACCAGGACCAGCATTTCTGAACTGTCTTCGATTGTATTGTTGTTGTCCAAACCCTCTTCTAAAACGGTTGGGTCCTATAAAAACAAACTGATCTTAGCATCCTCCAAAACTCCATTTATTATTACAGCTGTGCAAATGGATCACAAGGTTAACTGCATATGGTACTGGAGTATCTATAAACATAGTGATGCAAAAATCACCTGAAGTTATTCCAGAAAAGTAAATGAATTTTGCAGAATATTTAATAATTTATGCTTCCAAAGTCTCAACCCTGTTCTTATCATATGTAGGACTGACACACACACATTATTTGATTTGAAGGAATACAGAAAAGAAGAGCCTTCCACAGTTCTGATTCCTAATAAAGGCAGGAACACTTGCATCAGGAAACCTGTCAATCTGCTGTCAGAGCTCACACTGCTATGAATTAAGCATGAAATGGGAAATGCCTTTTGATACAGATACACAAATGAATCAAGCATCAGGAAGCCAACCCCACAGCAGCCTGGAATAGCTCTGAATGCCCACGTTATAGCACTTGGTAAGTGAAGACTGGACCATAATTTATAAATATATTTTTTATTTTTTTTAGCTTGACGTGCAAATTCACTACATCTATTGAAGGGGGCACCTTCTGCTGCTGTTTCATATAACTGCAGAGTGCATATATATCACCAGCTTATCTTGCACTTAACGTTCTCCCCTAAGCCCATTTATGATTTGAAGAGCACTGAGGGTGTTGAGCAAGAGGAAAGCACTTCATCAGATGGAGGCACAGTGCATTAAAGCCTAATTACTCCACTTGATAAACTTCTGTAGTCCTAATGACGTTGACATTTCCTGAGTTGTTGTACCAGTGGAATGTGCCCACAAATGCAGAGGGGTGAATAAATCAGGCATAAAGCTGTGCCTGGCAGAGGGCAGCAAGAGTGTGGTTAAACCCCTGCACCATGTGGCAGAACCTCACTGATACAGCCCACGCAGCAGTTAAGATGCACGTATTGATCCTATACCATCGATTCCTACATCACAGCAATTTATAATGACTTGGAGCAATTAGAAATGAAGTGTTGGGAGGCAGTGGTGACATTGTTGTCAGGGGCCATCACCGCAGTGATTAATTAAGGCTCCAGCCCCAGGGCAAAACACCAGTGAGCACCAGCATGGGCTGGTTACACTGGAATACTAGTGAAGATGATTGTGCTTCTCTGGCTCTAAAACAAAAGGACACCTGGGCATGTCCTTGAGAAGCACCTCCCAAACACCACATTGGAGTGTTTAGCTCCCTACAGAGGTGCTGGTTGGGACACTATGAAAAATGCAATGCTGTTCACAAGCTCTGTGGGGCCAGGACTTATTTTCTTTGCAAATGATGCCCTCTCACCACAGAAGTGCAGGTGAGTAAACGTTTCTCTCCCAACAAACATCTGGATTTTGGCAATCTGCATCTTTTGGACCAGACGTGGTCTCGCTATTGTTTAATGGCCTTTTTTTCCCTCCTCATTCTGTCCCCACAGTTTGTTTTTGTTGATGCCCCATCCCTGGAGATTTTTAAGGCCAGGTTGGATGTGGTTTTGTGCAAGCTGGTCTAGTGGTAGGGGTCTCTGTCCATGGCAGGGGGGTTGGAACTTGATGATCTTTAAGGTCCCTTCCAGCCTTAACAATTCTATGATTCTGTGATTCTTGTCCCCTTCAACACCCACCCTGGGCTTGCCTCTCTGTCTTACCTGCTTGCCAGACCACTCTCCTGCAGGCCACCAAGCCTCACAACACAGCTCTCCTGCACCCTGGAGTGGGCAACTGCTCTGCAGTAAGACAGACTGAGCTCAGCTGCCACTCCTGGGAATTTCATCAGTGCAGTGGGAGGGACAGTTGCAAAAGGCAGCCCTGACTAGAAATTCATGCCCTTGTCAGTCCACATTAGAGAGCCTCTGCTCAGCAGTGCACTCAGGCACATCTCATCCCGTGTAAAGAACTAACAATGGAGCCTTCAGCCTCCAAGGGGTACCCCACGGTACCAGCTGGGGACCAAGGCTTCAGTCTGTCATGTGTGCCCTGAAGTGTGAGACCTGGGAGGCTCCATCTCTGCCAAAAGTCTCACAGATATTTATTAATTAAATAACATTTCAATAAAACCCCACAGCATCAGCAGCTGGGGAAGACCCCCACTGTGTCTGGGTGTCTGCTCAGAGCCTGGTGCTGAGCACACCTGGGTTGGCCAACAGGCAACTCTGCCCAGCAAGTCCAGTTTGGAGGGAAGCCCAAATATCTGACAGACTCTTTTGCTAAGGAGGTGTGAAATTCAAATTTGTTGTGATTATAAATCATAATGCCCCATCCCTGGAAGTGTTCAAGGCCAGGTTGGATGGGGCTTTGAGCAACCTGGTCTAGTGGAAGGTGTCCCTGCTCATAGCAGGGGGGTTGAAACCTGATGATCTTGAAGGTCCCTTTCAACCTTCACCATTCTGTGATTCTATGATTTATTTGACTCTGCATGCACTAGCTGCTTGATTGTGGAAGAATATCAAAGCCTGTGTTTTTAACAGAAAAATCAATTTGCAGAGGGCAATTATTATCATTCTGCTTTGAACTGGAATGATTCTCAGTAAGGCAACATGTGGTGGAGACCAAAACCATGAGAGTGGGAGGCAGACTGCAGACAAGCAGGATTTCTCCCAGCAATCCCACTGTCCTGATGTGCACTCCAAGGGAAGACTGCAAAGACATTGCTGCAAAATGTCACTAAAATCTTCAATGAAGTGATTTACCAGTAATTTAAGAAAAAAGAATCAGAATTTGGATAAAGGTGGCATTTCATACAGCAGATCCCCTTGGTTTTGTAGATAAAAGCAGTGGAACCAAAGAGAGTGTTATAAAAAAGAGGTGTTATAAAAAACCTCATCATAGAAATAGCCTGGTTGGCAAAAGGGACAAATTAGCTCCAATAACTGAGCTATCAAAGACAGTTACTAAAGGGGTAATTTAGGTGTGTTCTGGGAAAAAGAGGATTAGGAAGAGGCATAATTAAAATATGCAAAGCCAAAAGGGAATAGAGAATAGATACTAAGTCTCTTTGAATTAGTAATTCATGAGAGGGTGGAAGGGAGAGAAATACATTAATTTATACTCTGAAAGGGCCCTGATATCCCATTGTTGCAGAGAGAAAAGCTGTTCAGAGTCCAAGTACATCTTATACACACACAGAAGTTAGATAGGAGAAGAATTTAAGAGCTGTATTTTGTTACACAAATGTGTTTTCCAGCTTGGCAGGCTTCAGCCATCCCAAGGCACGTACCCACCTTGCAAATTCCTCTGCATCCAGGCACGGAAACGGGGCCTTCCATACCCATAAGCCAAATTCCTGTTCTTCACCTGCTGCCTTTGCCTGTTCCCCGTGGTGCTGGCATCTGTCTGCTCCTTCCTGTGGCGTTTTATGATGTCATCTAGATTGAAATGGCAAAGGGGAAACCCATAAAATCTGCACTTTCTCCCAGCAGCGATTCCCATTTTTGGTGCTTGCAACTGTCCACAGTGCAAATGGAGCCTGCAGTTCTGTGAGCTATGCTGCCTGAACAATAAAAGACTAAGCTCAGCTCAGAAAGTATAGGATCAATTTATTCAGCTCCTGCAGGCTGGAGATTAGAGTGCAGCACATTATTTAAAACCGTGCTGCCATCTGGCTCACATCCACCCTGTACAGGACAGAGATTTCAGACCCACGTCCCATGGAGGGATCAGATCCTGCTGATTTCCCTTAAACATAAGGGAAGATGTTTTTGCAGGGGCACCAGAGCTCAGTGCTGGGCAGAACATTACTGAGAAGGTCTGACTTGGGAGGCTGCTAGAGAGGTGGTCTGGGGGTGGAGAAGGGACAGAAGCACTCATGGGCGTAGCCACCCTGTCCTGGCTGCTCCAAGGGCTCCCCATGCCACACGTGGGACGTGGGCACTACCTGGTGCAAAAGACATGCCCCTGATGTGTAAACAACACAAACACTGTTCAAATGCCATGGAACACAAGTGGGATGAATGTCCCCTTAGCTCCTAAACCTATAAAGGGGAGAACTGCAGCTTGGCACAGGAAAGGCTGGGGGGAAAGAATGTCACTTGTACAGGGCAGCTGTCAAGAATGGGGACATGATGGTCTTGCAAACAGTCATGGTTCATCAGGCAGTTGTAGGACAGTTTCCTTTCAGTTCTCATCTTAAGGAGTAAGCTACTTGCATGTCTTTTCCTCAGTGCTTTCTTCTAACTTCAAATCTTAAAAAAACATTTAGCAAGGAATAAAGCCACATCTGCTTTAGAAAAATAACAAGCAAAGAAGTGTCCAAACCAGGCCTTTTCCCAGGCAGTGGCTACTCCAGCTCCTTAATGAATCACTGGAGTGGAAGCACAGAAGTGCCATTAGCTTTCAATGGCTGATTATCACAAACAGCACATCCTACCTCCAGTGCCTGTCACTTGTCATTTTCTATCAAGAAGCTGCTGTCTCCAAAATAATACAAAGCCCAAGGAAAACAAACAAGAGCAGATGTAAGAACAGGCTGTACGTCTGCTTTTGTGATTTCTCTATGAAGTCTGCCAGGAAGGGAGCACACTGGGAGAGGCTGGGCGATGTTCTTGCTATGAATGCACTAATGTTCTCAGCTAAGTGTGCCTTTGGGACATGTACTATTTGGGGCACAGACTGCTTTGAAGCATATCAACAGAATCTCTGCAGGGAGGTGGACACAAGACATCCAAAGGTGGGCTATCTACAGTGCAGGGCAGAGCTGGCTGGGAATGGAGAGGAGCTGAACACTCAGGTGTGTCACCCTTCAGTGTCATTTTTGGTTTGGGTATGTTGTTACCCTGTCTTTTGCACCCATAAATATGATGGGGTTAACAGAACAATGTAATGGAGTACTACTTAAGTCTAGAAGGGGTCCTGTGAGGTCATTTAGGGTACTCCTCTGCCCTCAAGACAGAATTAGATATATTATGGCAAGTAACTCCTGCAGTTTCCTCTGACTGCTAACTCAAGTAAGGCTCAAGGTATCTGAAAGCACAGAAATAAGCACCTGACAGTAACAGTATCAGTTCTTCACTAGGGATCTTGTTTTCCAGTTCTCCCTTCTGCCCTCAGTCAGGTGTACTCTGGATTGAATGTGATTCTTGTTCCCTTCAACAACCACCCTGGGCTTGCCTCTCTGTCTTACCTGCTTGCCAGACCACTCACCTGGACCACAGGAGGTCTGACCAAGGGAAGCACTAAGGGAGAGCAAAAGCAAAGGGAGCAAACAGCAAAAGGGTGTGGAACACCCTGGGAAAACAAAATAAATGAAAAAATTTGGGACCCACTATTGCTGTATAGCACCATGAAAACAAGGGTGCACCAGCCAAGGGATCAGCCTGGGTTTGCAGTGGAAAATGTTCTGCTATTCCTGACAAGCGGCTCATTGCTGGGAATAAATGACATCAGGTTTTGGTTAAGGAAGCTGATCCAATAACAAAACGGTGCCGCCGGGCTTCCCTTCCTCAGCAGAGCTGTCAACATGACAACCCACCGAGACCTGCCGCCCCAGCACCGGGGGTGCAGCCCCTCGGGGCCACCGACCGGCCGGTTGTTTGCACAGACCCGCACCCGGTGCCAGGGCATGGCGGGCAGCCCGCTATAAATAGCCCGGGCACCAGGGCACGGCAGGGCC